TCTTGATTGCACATTATGGTTTGATGCTTAAAAACTTCTCATTCTTTTTGTTTCAAATTCCTATTTTCTTTTCGTTTTGTTCTGTTTATTAATTATTATTTATTAATAATAATATATATATATATATATATATATATATATATTATTATTAATAAATAATAATTAATAAACAGAACAAAACGAAAAGAAAATAGGAATTTGAAACAAAAAGAATGAGAAGTTTTTAAGCATCAAACCATAATGTGCAATCAAGACAAACAATACGAAACCAAAACACCACAACCAAGCCATAAAACTCAAAACAATCAAGACAGAAACCACACTGGAGATGCAAACCAAAGCTCTCTGCAAGATATAATTATGTTCCATTCGTAAACATGTCAAGCATGTGAGCAAGAAGAGAAAGTAGCAACAGACCCATCGCTATCTGAAACGTGTTAGACGTGTAGATGTCTAACCCATTAAAGTGTGGTCTTATAATCATCAAAGGATTCTAAAGACTTGATATCAATTAGGAGTTCAAGTGCAACTAAACCGGCAGCTCTATTTAAGTTAGTGTTTTAAGGCTAATATAAGAGCTAAAAGGATTCCTATTTAATTGTGGATTAGAAGTTATAAACCTAATGCAATAAAGACTTCTTAAGAGTTTCTTGATGGGCAAGACTCTTAGGTAGATGCATATAAATACAAGTGCCCCTGCTCAACCGATCAAGCCAACCCACACAAAAGAATTCACCCCATCTAGAATGAGTGTATGAAGGGATCGGATTGAGGAGATGTGCTCTTGTATAGCCTTGATGTGTGTTCTATCATGTGTAGTCATTATAGTTTACATCAGAAGCATGTGCATAGATGAATTATTGACCTCATATTTAATAGAAAGTTCTATCCATTCGTCTAATCTGTTGACAAATGTTTTTGGGGTAGCTTCCATTAATAGAATTGATCTTAAGGATGTTGATGCATGTGGAATATTTCCAGTTAGATTTTAGTCACACATTGACAAACTCAGCATTAAGACTACGTTGACTTCAGATGGCTGCCACTTTTCTAATTTCCCACGTGCAGTGGGCTCAATGCTTTGACAAGTGACATCCACATTTAATTTAGAGTCTGAAATATTTATGTACAATTCTAGATACTCATCTCATGGCTTTTCCAATTTAAATACTTTTTCTTGTTCACAATATCAAAGGGATGGAGTGGACTAACAATAAAGCTATGGAAATTTAACTAAACTTCTTATAATATTCTAAGAACTTTTTTCATTTTTTATACAAGCAATATTAAGATAAGGGAGAATTGAACCTAATAACTTCGGGTGCAAGAGAAAGTAACAGTTGGAAATTTATTTCTTAGACAATTCTGTATGTGACAGGAGGCCTACATATCTTTTGATTTTGTGGATGAGAATCTGACTATTATCTTCTTTCGTGGGGACACAATAAATTTCAGAAAAGTACACGTGGATTTTTCGAAAGAAGAAAAAAATACTATGGTGTAATTTTCCAAAAATGGGGCTAACAGCGACTCTGGATGATGAAGGCCTATCTGCAAGTTGAATCAGTCAAAGGTGACGTCATATTGGAATGGATATTTTCATGGTCAACATAATCATATCAAGATAATAATTATATACAAGTTTGGGTACATAATGCCTAGTGACATTTTGTATATAGGACACGTGGATTGCACTTGAGGCTTATGGGTTGGTTCATAATGCAACTGTTCTCCCTATATATACACTCATAAAGAAATAAATAATTTTTAACCAGAGTGTTTTTACTATGCAAACAGGGAAACATTGCTTTTGAATGCATCTTTAAATTACATTTTCAAAGACGTTCGCGAGGGCAATCCGCATCGATGTAATGAAAGTGAAGGACCTACGACAATGACAGAACGCCCCGAATAATCGACCCGTTTGCCAAGCAGAGTCTGGCGAAATCTTCCCTCTTTGCCTTCAATTACATCTGAAAACTACTTGTAAACCTTATTATGACCGTCCCTCGTTGGTTGTCCGCGGATTCCATTATCAAGAAGCTGAGGTGATGGGATATTGAAGCAGAGAGACAGCAGCTGAAGCAAGAAGCAGCAAATTGGTATCTGTCAAATTGGTGATGGGAGATGGCGGCTAGCTTCCCCCACCACTGATTCCGAAACTTATCATCTCTCTCTCTCTCCTAACAATATGAGAGTGAAAGGGAGGTTTCTCCCACTCACTTAACGGTACGAGAGAGACAGAGAGGGTAGAGTCCATGTCAATCTGTCAAATTCTTCAAACCATCAATATTTGTTTATTCAACAACTAGCCTCACAGCTTTTTCCTTTCTTTTTCTTAAACCAAAAAAAAAATATATTATTATTATTAAAGGAATTGAACCTAACCACTGGACTGGACCACTAGACCGCTAGACCACTAGTGGGCTAATTGAGCCACTCAAGTGGGTCTTTATTCTTTTGACTAATTTAGTCCCTAATGTAATGATTGATTTTCAAGTTTATAAAAAATTAAAAAAAGAAAAAAGAAAAAAAAAAGAGATGGATTCAATTGCCATATAAACCATACGAATAAGATTGCTTTTGCTATATTTGAAACTACAAGGATTAAGACGAAATTGAGTCAAAATTATAAATTACAAAAATATATTGTTGAAAGAAACATTCTTTTTACCCAAAAAAATTGAAAGAAACCCATCTTTTATTATCTTCTCGCATTTCTAAGGGAACACTGAGTCAGAGAAGGACATAGCTCACTGCCCTGAGGTTCTGATCTCTCTCTTAGCTATTTGTTAATCATTCAGAGCTCTTTCTCTCTATTTGCATGATTCAGCTCTCCCCCCCTGATTTATGTTTCCGTTTCTGAAATTTAATGGAATTGATGATCTAGGTTTTGTTTTTAGAGAGGAATTTGTGATTAGATTTGGGGTTTTGTATCAACTGCGCAATTTAGGTGTTTCTCGGGAATTATTTGGGAAATTTGTGATTAGATTTTGGATTCTGGGTCAGCTTGGCCTTTTTCCTGATCTTGAATGTGTTTTGAATCTGACTTGATCTGCTTGTATGCAAACGAAGTTCTCTTTTTTCTCTATGGATGTAATGTTAGGGTTCTCAGTGCTCAGAGCTCTGGTTGATTGTGGAGAAGTTTAGGAGGAAAATGAAAATGATATGAAACCACATTGCAAATATTGACTAAGAAGCTGGTTTGGTTTGACTTCTCTATCCAGATTAGAACCTTAGTGTGTGTGTGTGTCTAAATGAAAACATAGGTTAAAGTTTTTAACTTGGCCCTTTTATGATTCTTTTTTTCTTCCTTCTGAGTTGCATAATATTTTTTATTATCAAGAATTGTTATTTTATAAACTACAGTAAATCCCCCAACCTATAGGGTCATTTACGAATTCATACCCGATTTTGGGGACATTTACCAGTACATACTCAACGTCGCGAAAAACTTACAATTTGCCCTCTTCGTTAGCCAAACTGTTAGTGAATCTGTTAAATGCTGACATGCCAAAAATGAGACCCATTTTTTGATGACGTGGACATCTGCGTGGATGAAAAAATTAATAAAAAATGATTTATTTTTTCGAATATTAAAAAAAAGTTAAAACATATTAAATTAAAAATTTTAAAATTTCAAATTTTTTTGTGAATTCGTGTCGTGTATGATATTGCCAGGTCTATATTCACATGAATAGTACTTGCCTTAGCAATTTTTTTTGTTGGTTTTCCATCCATTGTCATGGCAAACCAAGTGCAACCACTATTCACATGAGACATGAGAATGAGGAGGTTGAGTGGAAATGCCCTAAATGGGCTCAAAATATAGTTTGGGGGATTAGTGTAGTTCATGGAATAAAATGGGTGAAATTTGGAACGGTCAAACCCAAATATTATATATTCCTCTGTTCAATTCAAGTCAGTCCAAATTTAGTTTTCATTTAAAAAAATAAATAAATCAAAGATGTAAGTTTGATTTCGGTTTTTGTTCACTAAAAGAAGCCCAACATCTAAGGGAATACATGAGGCCCAACAAACTTGGGTTGGGCCAGCAAATCAAAACATACAGCCCAATCTCATAATTCAAACCAACAAACAAAAAAAAACCCATATATGAAGAAATTATTCGATATAACAGTAACACCGTGACATGCCACATGTTATGATTTTTGTGATTTTTGTAACACCATGTGGACATATGCTAAGTAGTAATAAAGTAAATGATGGAATTTAAAAGTATAAAGGAATTCATACATCCCGACCGGCTGTGAATGCTTAATGTAATAATTAAGACTAATTAACTTAACATAAAGATGACATGGTTGATAGGGTAGATGATGTTCGGCTAGGCGAAGTTGAACAAGTTTGCTTTAAAACCACTGTTGGCAAGAAGCAAATTTTTCTCCTCTCGTTTTCCTTAATCAGCTGCCCAGCAAACAACTCAAGCTTTTCCAATCTAGTCTTGCGGTTTCGAATTCTGTCTAGAAGAGCAAATGTTTGTATATTGTATGGTTTGGTGCCAATCTGCCCTGGAGGTTTCGGATTTAAAAGTCAGGAATTGAAGAGGAGAAATTGATATTTTCATTGTTTGGCAACTTAAGCAAAGAAATTATTAAATGACTTGTGGAAAAAATCGTGGAAATTCAGGGTCGAGATTATTTCTATCGAGCAATAATTCATTTTTCTTGATTCAACATACATAAATCCAAACACTGAAATTATTAATTATCACTATATTTATTCATTTTTCTACTGCTTCTTCCAAGTGCAGGATAACCCCCAAAGGGGTTGCGGGTTTTTTTTCTACCAATTGGGGATGGTCTACAAGGTTCATAACTACTGCTCTTACGACAGGACGCTTACCTAGCCAACATTTACAGGACGCGTACTACAGGATAACCCATCTATTTGTTTGATAATAATAATATATTTTTCTATTATTCAATGGCCAATTAAGGCAACCAGATATCTATAGAATTGTATCTTCTTTCTATATATATCATCATTCCCATAAACTAAAGGCAGAAAGACACAAAGACAAGTACAAAATGTAGAAAAGTTTTAGCAGTGAGAGAGTCACAGATTTACAGCAAGGGAAAGACAATGGAAACTTCTTACTTCTCACATTCCTTCTCCTATAATGCCAGTGAGCATTGATCCAGTCACATTTACCGGAGACGGGGCAGGGTCAATCCTGGGGCTAGCACCAGTTGTGCTCCCTTCAGACTGATGGTTGAGGAGAACATTGCTCTCAGTTGATGAGGTATCATCATCCACCAAAAAGCTACTTGTGGTTACATCTTTGAAATCCCAATCTGCCAAATAACTTGGCTTTGACATAACAGTGCTTGCTTCAATATCTCCAGAAAGTATTGCCACCACACGTGACATCGATGGCTTCATCATTGGTGAAGCCTGAGTGCAGAGGAGAGCTGCTTTTATCAATCTAGTTGCGTCATTTTCATCAAACTCTGTCAATCTCGGATCCACCAGCCCCAGACTCTGGTCGTTTTCATGTAGAGTCCATGCCTGAAAACAAACATCATGGCATGGTCAAAAAGGAAAAAAATAAAGAAGTTTTCACAACAATGCTGTTAGTCAAGTCATAGTTAGGCAAGTCTTAGTTAGGTATGTTTACATTTTCCATGTTTTAGGGAGACACAAATCCTGGAAATGCTCCATGGTTTTGTATACTTGTTTGTAACTAATAGTTACCCTTTCTACATTGTGTATAAATATCTCCATGATAGCAATACAAAGACATAAGGGAGAATTCTCTGCAAAACATCTCTTATTCCTCACTCTTTACTCTCTCAATTACACTATATTTGACATGGTATCAGAGCAATCGATTTTGGTTGCCTCTGCATAACCTTATCCTTGCCTAATCTCTACTTACCCTTTGCCCATCCAAAATCTGATATTTTCGGGGAGAGTTCAGCATCTAGCAAAATATTACTGGCTTTGACATCTCGATGTACAATCCTGGGCTTTGACTCCTCGTGAAGGTAAGCAAGTCCTCTTGCTGTTCCCAACAATATATTGAAGCGGGTAGGCCAGTCAAGGTGCAAGTCATTTCTTCCTGAAACATTACATGGGAAAACAACCAATGCACATATAAGAGAAAAAGGAAAAAGAAAATTAATGAAAATATGTTTTGATATGAGAATTGGGTTGGTTTAACATAATTGAATAATTCCTTATACAGAGCAAAAACTAATAAAATCTAACTAGCAGTAGTTTTCTTCTTTCTTTATTTTCTAGCAGAAAACCAAGGCAGTGAAAGAAGATTTATTCTCAAGGAAAAAACTTGGATGTAACTTCAGAGTACTTCAAACTGCAGAATATTCTGATTCAGATAATTACTCTTTTGGTTTCTTTAATCTTCACTCCTCAGCAGAGAAAAATTATAACAAATGGTTGCGTAAAAAACTTGGATGAACGTTTAGAGTACTTGAAACTGCAGAGTATTCTGTTTCTATAAAACCTACCAAAAAGTGCCTGATGAAGCCTCTTGTTTTCAAGATACTCATAAACCAAAATACGGTGGCTTCCTTCAATGCAGCATCCATACAATTTCACAAGATTGCGATGTTGGACTGTAGATATTGTAGCAATCTCAGTTACAAATTGACTCTTCCCTTGGTGAGATGCTACTGAAAGTTGCTTCACAGCCACTACCCTCCCATCAGAAAGTGTACCCTATAAACAGAAATACAATTCAATGACATGAAAGGGAAGTAGAAAGAATCTATTTTGCTTCTCTCAATTTCTTTTTGTAAGAAGTCAAAGTCATTACTTTAAAGTAGCAAATATTGATGTAAAATAGATTTCACCTTATAAACAGGTCCATATCCTCCCTCTCCTAGCTTATTTGAAGGATTGAAATCTTTTGTTGCAGCTCCCAACTCAGCATAACTGAAAGTATTTGGTCGGGGACCTAATCCTAGAAGATCTGCATATTCAAAAGAGAGTATGACATAGGTTTAAATTTCGAAACAACACATCAGAAGTATTTTCTCTCAAATATGCTTATCAACACTAGAAAGAACCTAGAACAGCATGCAGAATTAACCCTTAATAATATGCTCATTCCTCTTCTACCTTCATCGTCATCTTTTGCTGATGTTTTTCTCCGCATATATAAAACTGCAAATAATAATAGCAAGATCACTACTCCGATAGGGACTGCAATACCAACTATCAACCCAATCCTGCTCTTCTTTCCTCGAGTAGTTGGTGTATCTGAGCAATGAAACAGAATAATTGTTCAGTGTCAATCAATTGACAGCAGATAAATACATTTAAACCATTCATAGGAAATCTTCATAACTTGACGTTATATTATATACCTGAAGCAGCGTGGACAGCTGATATTAGCGGGCCGTAATCACCTTCTTCAGGTATGCAACATGTTCCCTTACCAGCCCAGAACAGATGAATATCTAGGTAATTCTCTATCACATCAACCTTGAAGGGTGTCGGAACTGCTCTGTTAACCCCACCTGCCTCCTTCGATATGTCGAAGTCCTTCCTTCTGAGGTTCCCCTAGGAAGCAAATGAAGAGATAGTTAAATAATTCTGTCTAATGAGGTTGCCTTTACTTTAAATAGCTTAGGGTTTTTTTTCTTTATTAGCAGCCTTACTTGAATATAGATATCAAATACACGCCTTCCTAGACTTTGCGAAGTTTGTGTATCGCGGCTAGCAAAAACAGTTTCGGCAAATTGCAATGTTACAGTATAAGGTCCATTCTTAAGACCCAGGCCATAGTATCTCAGTGAACCTGTGGACATTCTTGAAGTCTTGAAAAGCGCTGGGGTCAAATCTGCACCGGAGACTTGCGTACGGGTGGTTTTCACAAATGATTGATTCTTTTTATCAGAAAAACCCGCATTGCTAACAGCCCATTTCGTACTAGTTACATTAAATGTTGCTGGGCCAAGAGCTGAGTCTTCAGCCTCATACAATATCCCGCCACTTCCTCTCATTTGTGGTCCTCCACACTTGATTGAGAAGTTTGTATCTGTACAATTCAATGTAATAGCACAAGCTATGATTAGTGAAAAAACTTCAAACTGATGTAATAGCACAAAATATGCTTACTAGATTTATCAAGACATTCCTACAATATGTATACATAATGAGATAAGCAATGCCTATTGCTGTAACATGATCTTGCATTTAAGAAATAAATGCTAGTGAAATTAGAAGAAGATTACATAGTGGGGTATTTCGATTGCATGGAAAATTCCTCTGGAGGCAATTCAACCCAGGAAGACTGTAAACACAGTGAACAATTATTATTTATAACAATTATTATTTGTAATAGCAATCACTCTCTGTTTGAACTATCCATCTAAAAAAAAGGATATTTCGATTCAACTCACGTTATGTTTGAACTGTCAAATGTGAAGTTGTTGACCACTAAATTCCTGCATAAAATCATTAATCAATCCACATATGAAGATGAAAATTTCGTGTTCAAGATCTCAACACATATCAGTACTTCAAATCCATCCCTTCTAATTTATTGAATTTCATTCATGTGGTATTATATATGCACAATGAAGGTGAACGATAAAAAGGAGACATACAGTTGCGATATTGTGGTTGCCCATGGGGGAAAGCTTCCTGAGAAATAGTTGTAAGACAAATCTCTGCACATAACAATACAGAATGAGAAGGCACAAAGATGCATGAAAGTTCAAAGGAATTTAAGAAAAAGGCTGCCAGAATGTGCGCACACACACACAGAGTATTGGTTTCATTGCCAATACATATAGCATACTTTTATGACATTAGGACTTACATAGTCTGAAGTTGATTGCTCTTTTGGCTTGGAAGAGGTCCAGACAGACTATTGTTTCCAAGAAATCTGGCCATATCAATTATAGGAGGCCCCCAGAAAAAAAAAAAAAAAAAAAAAAAAAAAAAAAAAAAAAAAAAAAAAAAAAA